TAGGCTGCAAAGGAAGAAGTAATAGGTTTATTCCATGCTGAAAAAGGAAGAAAGAAAACACAACATTTCGGCTGTGGAGCCTGGACACACCTGAAGAAGGCTCCACGGCCAAAACATTGTTTTCTTTCTTCCTTTTTCAGCATGGAATAAACCTATTACTTGTTCCTAGGAAAACAGAATTCTACATATTGTGCATTTGCTCCTTTTAGACCAGAGCTTTCAAGGTAACAATTTTAGTCTACCTGAGCACAATATACCAAACCTATTGATAACCATCTCTAGCACCTGTTTACCTGTCTGTCCAGATCCACATAGGTGTCGTTTCCAGGGGAAACTGGGGTCTCTTTGCTCATCAGCTAAAAATAAATAAGTGTACATTTTTAAAATGTTATACCATTAATTAAATTGTACTTTCAGGATAATCCCATTTCAGTTTGGATTCTATGTTTTACTGTTAAAACTTTCAGCTATCAGTTAAATAAAAATGTTAAAAAGGAAAAATGTCAAACTAATTTGAGCATATTTTCTAAACTTTCAACTTAAATTTGCAAAAAATTCAGTCATTTTAACAGATTACCTCCTGGATTGCTGTCATGACGACGTGTTGTACGGACTCCTCCATCATCATTATTGTCTGAATGTATTCTGTGTAACACACACATACAGTCAGTGACTAAACCCATGGATTCAATAGACATATTGGAGCAACAAAATAGAAAAGATTTAATTCCCCTTTTAATTTAGAATTCAGATTATTTTTTTAATTAAATTTGAAAACATCCTTGACGAATGGTGAAAATATCTGAAGCTAATAATCACACAGAATTACGGTAGATGATCCATCTATAGTATCTAGCTCCACATCACTTGAACATCTTATCTACTCAAAAGGTCTCTAACACCGCAATAATGGACAACTGCATTCATTAATGAAAGAGCCACCTTCAAAATGTAAAACATTAGGTAAGAAATGCAACTAATTCTTCTTTGATTTTTAGTGTTACACACTTTGAAACTTCACAAATCAGCAAATCTAGAACCTAGAATCCTAAATCTAGGTTTGGGGAGGTTTACGGGAGTCAGTCCGGTTTTTTTTTTTTGAGATAGCCATGAATATGATAAATATTGAATTTCTAGAACGTTCTACAGCCCATATCAACTGTGCCAAGATACAGAATTTGATCATGGGAGTCAACAATTGTTTTAGTTAATCTTTATAAATCCTTTATCGCTATTTATCTTTTACCGTTACAGGTGTAGGCCTTCTAATTAAGTTTCGTTAGTGCTGCGTTTTTGCCTGATGCGGCACAAAGGGGGCACTAACGAATCACACCAATTTGGTTCCCTGGCGCCACTGAAGGGGGCTGTGATGTCACCCCTCTGAAAAACTAAGGCACTATATCTCAAACGAAGTCAGCACAAACGCAGCACTCATGAATCTGGTGGGCTTGATTGGTTCTGCTGCTTGTAGGGAGGCCAACTTCATGAAGCTTCTTTGATGTCCTACTGTCAGCCTCTGGTTTCTTTAAAGGTAAGCTATGAATATGAATAATTGAGTTTTTTAGTACTAAACAAAAAGAAATGTATGACTACGAGTAAAAAAACAAAAAGAGGGACTGCTCAAGATCATAGTGGACATAGTTTAATTTGTCAACGTGAAGATCTAGTTTAGTCACGGAAACATGTAATCTAACAGTAACTACTGCTTGCTTTACTTCCCAATTAGCACTGCTGAACAAATGAAGGAATGAGTGCTGCATCTAGTCATGCAATGCATTCCTAGTGCAGTGACCCTCAAACTACTTTGGAAACCTGCTGAATTTAGGCTCCAAGAGCACAGTCGCCCCCCCACCTTGTTTCTGCTCACAGTTGACAGCACAGCCCAGGATGAGCTGAAGCATCCTCCCGAGCTCTGCTGCGTCGGAGTGCTCCCCCACCAGGTTGACATCAGGCAGGGTGAAGTCATTGATCTGCTGGCCAAGGACCTTAGGAGAGAGGAAGGGACTCCATGAATATGACTGGGCCAAAAACAGGCAGCAACGATTTGATGAGTATTGTAGACTGGAGATAATACAAGCATCAACAAACAATGACCGGGACAACAATTTTCAAGCCGCACGAGATTAGTAGATGATCTACATTAATGCTTTAATGGTTTCAGGAAACTGAGCTTCTTGTGTCATTAATATCATTGATATAATGCAGGGCAATCACTATTCACTGAAACTACAAAAAATTATATGTAGATATACATTTTTGGTACAATTCGGAATGTTTTTGTAATCTAGGTGTTCTAATTCAGGTTTTTTAAACCTATGTAACTTCGGTACATTTCTGCACTTTGTCACCAATGGCACACCAACACCTTTAACACAATACAAAATCAACGCTATACTTGATACTCTTTAACACACAGTGAAACTAGTGACATGTCGTGCAGTCTTTTTACTGTGGACATGTCCAAAAATATGCTTAAAGAACAAGGAGGGCAATTTTGAAAAAATCCAGAGTGTCAAGTGATGCAAGTGAACTGCTACAGCCACACCTGTATTTTCTTCTCTTCACTGACTGCGTTCAGAAAGTTCTTGTACAGCACACCCACTTTCAAGACGTCAGTTTGCATTCTTTGCAGGGGCGCAATTTTCTGACATTATTCACAGCTGCTTCCATTACGGGGGGAGTGGTGGCTCTGTGGCTAAGGATCTGCACCTGTGGCTGGAAGGTTGATGGCAGAGGAATCCTACTCCGTTGGGCCCCTGAGCACGGCCCTTAATCCCAAGTGCTCCAGGGGCGCCGTATAAATGGCTGACCCTGCGCTCTGACCCCCAGCTTCTCTCTCCCTGTCTATGTGCCTGTGTGTCTCATGGAGAGCCAGCTGGGGTACGCAAAAAGGCAAATTCCTAATGCAAGAAATTGTATATGGCCAATAAAGTGATCCTCTTAGTTCATCTCAGGAAAAGCCATGACTCTGTCGAATTACAGACAGACAGCAGCCTCAAGCACTCACTCTTGATGCAAACTGACTAAGTTTTAAGATGAACAAGTGGTATAGTTTAATGATAATAATCAAAATGTCAGATTTGCTTTTCAAAATATTTCAGCTCATCCTGAAGGAAACATTACAATTCCTACCAGTGAGGGCTCTCAAATATTGGCACCCATCACTGACCATAGATTTAACTCAATTATACTAATTGCTTTATTATAATAATACATAACAATTACAATTAATATAGCTAATAATAAATAATTCTAATAATTTCAGTCTTGTCATTAATTACAATTTAACATAGGTATATTCATAAATATATTTTACACACTTTTCATTCAAATGAAGCAAACTTTCTTCTCAGTTTGTATTAAGAAAACACCCCTGTTTTTTTCTCACCTCATGATTGTAATCCAGAATGCCTTTCAGAATTTTCTTTAAATTGCTAACCTACAAGAAAAAAAGCAATTTCATTAGGATTTCAATAAGAGATCTTTATGAGAGCCAGTTTTTCACAGTACCTGTCCTAGGGCTTGTCAAAATGCTTATGTCTGAATATAACTGAAAGTTATGTTGCACATGGGAAAGGAGTTACAAAGATGTTTTGTACTCTATTAATCTTTTCCCTAAGAGAGGTTTTCATAAACCCATGTGGTCTGCCATCAATAAACACATGCTGAGAACCCAGCTGCCCATAAAGATACCCTTCTGCCCTGGAGTAACCCATACAGTGCAAAAAGGGCAAGGCAATCAATAATTCTGTCTGTGCTACACTGCTGGAAAAGGAGAAGGTTTCAGTTAGAAGAAGACAGTCAGGAGGGTGAAAATCAAATGTGCACTTTGAGCTACAAATTCTTTTGCACTAGAACATTTTCAGGAATTTATTGTGGAATGCTACAATACTGTATGTTTTTATACTCTTAATGAACTCTGTTCTAAAAGTAACAGGCTTATTTCCTGTATGTTGAGACAAGAATTCAAATTGTTTGAGCAACAGACAGTGACTAGTGCACTGAACACTCAAAATGCAATACCATAAAAAGACTGATCTCCTGTGTAACCAACTTCAGTAACATTCATACATTTAGTGTCAAGAGTAATTACCGGAGCATATGTCTGTTTAAACTTATGGTGCCATCATTAACTGGATGAAAACGTAAAACTAAAATCTGAAATGAACTAGATGAAAATTAAACAATTTAACTGGGGAAAACAAAAACATGAAAATGGTTCATGAAAAAGCAGAATAGATTTCCACGTGCTCATGAAACACAGAACTCTGCCTACAATTTATAATCTGGTTAAGTGAAAAATATTCTCCCAGGTCAGAGGCTGAAATAGTGCAGAAATATTATAAATATACCTTACCTTTAATCTCCAATTATCACCAACTTCAGTTTTTATTCGGCTTATCCAGTTGTCATTAAAATATGATACATCTCTGCAAAAAATTGAAATGTCCATGTAACAAAATATCATCAACAAAACAATACTTGGTGAAGGTGAGCGTGTGCCATTGATTCACTAAATGCTACTGGGTGAAACTGCATATGCATTTCCTCTCAAAGAAACTCCCCAAACCCCATTCTTAAAGCATAGTATGGGCTGCTCAAATTTATATTCTTATAAAATGGTGACTGAAAAAAAAACTTTGCCAAGATAGTCTGGAAGCAAATCAGAAAAACGATATTTTCAGTACCAAGAAGAAAAGCATTTAAAACCATGAACAAATGACTATCGGAATTAGACACTGAAAGAGAGCAAAGCAGTTTTTGTCTCTTATGCCCTCTATAAATAAGATGTGAAGGATGTGCTACAGCAGTAATCACACTTATTCAGTCAAGAAATCACCCCTCCACAGCTCCACAGAGAAACGTACATGCAAACTGTAGACCATAAATACAGAGATGGAACAATATCTTTCATGGACAGATGAAAGGCTGCTTCATGGTTGTCTTTCCAAATTACCCTTAAAAACTCATCAGAATTTAAGTCTGTATGTATACAGTTCAGCTATGATACTTTCTATTCTTGACTGCCACATATATTAAATGTCCCAGTAAAAACACAAAAGCCTAAGAGACTATTAATCATTGTATCACTTCTTTGCTTCCTGACATTCAGCTATTTTTCAGACATTTTAACTAGTTTTACATACTGTATGCTTGAGACCAAAATAACAAAAATGTGTAAATAAGGTATGGACAGAGACAACAAAACAAGTACAAAATTAAACGCAAGTGACTTGACAAGAAATAGGACATTATTAATATAAGACAGTACCATTACTGTCCCTTGAAATATTTTCATACACTGATTTCAAAGAGCTGTTTCTCAAACAGAAAAAACAAGCTCGATATATAGAGATGTGGCAAACTTTCACAGAGAAACTTTTTCACTACAGCTTTGCAAATTAAATACAAACAAAATATATACAATAACTAAAATAATAAGACAGAAAAATAATAGGTGTAAAAAGCAAGCGACCCTTCCAACTGAATTATAACATGTACGATTAAAAAATGCCATACTAAAAATAAGGAGATTTCTCTTCATGCATATAATATGAATTTATATTAACAAGGAATACAATATTAAATCATAAACTGAATTAAGTTAAGTAAAATGAAGTATAAATTCTACAGAGTAATACTGTAGGTTCAAAGCTACACTGTTAGCAAGATCGCTGCCAGTCTCTCCCTCTTCACCTCTGCCAAGAACTTCTGTCACTCTTGACCTCTCTGTTCATTTCTCCTAATGCAGTGACATAATTCAAGTATCCAGTTAACCCCAACACACACCAGACAGAAAAGGAGTTGGAAGATGCAACGTCTGAGCCTTCTTTTTAAAACAGCTACACTGTCAATCTCACAAAAAGGCTTAAAACTTACACAGCATGACACCACCATATTCTGTAGTCCTATTATGTAAAAAAACTATTATCTACCTCCTCTGTATTCTAACATATTCCTAAACTGATCTACTGTATATTGCAACTGGCTACACGTCATTTCTGAGTGGAAGCAGGTGTGTAAGGAAATTGTAAAGTGGTGTATGTTTGGCAAACCGCTGAAAAAAAATAGATGAGGCCTTACTGAAACATTAGCTCACTTTCCTCAGTTTACTTCATAATAATGCAAATGTAACTCTCATACTTTTAAAATAATGAGACAATTGATAATGGGCAGTGCAAAGGAGGCAGAAGTGAAACTGTCGTGAAACTGTCGACACTGCCATCTTATTACATCAAGGCTGCCACGGTACTCACATTTTTTGAAGTACTTGAGCCATTACAACCCCACTTGTAAGATCCTCTACTGTTTTACATGGTGCCTCTACTCCGAATGTCTGTATCTGAAAGGACAGGAAAAAACATGAAAGTTATTCAAGAGGTTGGTGTACATTTCATGGGAAATAAATTAACACAATGCAAAAGACACGTGTAGGCCCTCATGGTTTTGAAGTTGTTTTTTGTGTGGAACCAAGGAAGGAAATAATTTCCGTCATTCGTAGTTACAATGTGCCTCAGAAAGGAATAACACCGGAACACAGAATAACAAAAGGAAAAAACAGACAGGCTCTTAGATAGTCCAGAAACAGAAACCAATCTAGGAAGTTACTACTGGTCTAGAGAATAGAGAGAAGAGTGACTACAGCACATGTAATTATCATATCACTGATAATTCAATTTTATTAGTGAAAAAGATGGGGGGGGATGCATAATAAGCCTTCTTAAGTGCTGTAAATGTGTTTAAGGGTGTACAAAGTTGCTGGACAAAGTTGGAGCACCTCATACTTTTAAAGAATTCAAACGCATATCTATTTTCAACTAATCACCAAAATGTTAAGTTTGAATTTTTGCTTTATATATTCATATCTCTTGCTTTGTAGAGGTATAAGTAGCGGATGCCAGATATCCCCTCAGATTCCAACAAACCAAGCACAGGGCAAAAGGGGCACTGTCAACAAATAGTCGGCGAAGTAGAACAGCTGTAAAAGTGAAAAGGAAATTGTCAAGAGCAAAACAACCAGTACTTTGTCACAGGTCTTGAGTGCTTCAGATGTAAGCAAAAGGTAGTATCTTATTCTGGATAGCCCAAAGTAAAATGACTAAATTACTACAAATATCTTATTCTGTCAGCTAAGTTCTATCAGCTAGAGAGGTGAAGATGGAAATCATTTTCTGATTTTTCTATTTTGCCAGAACGAACAACATTGTATTATATTCAGGAAAAACAACAAAACCACTTAAATAAATGCAGTCAGTTTCTGAAAAACATCCAACACTTGCTTGTACCTAGCATATACTGCTTTGACTATTTTCTTCACTAGGTGCTCTTTGAATGAAAACTGTAACAAGTGTCTTGCGAGTAGGCTCTTGTGTACATCTACAGTAAAATACAGCTGTGAAAATAACCAAGAAAAAAAACACCACTTTAAAAACACTAGAACCCGTAAGCTGTGATGTTTTTGTACAACTGTCACACAAAAACAGAAAAATATATCAGCAGTACCCATACAACAACAAAAAAAGTTCTCTTCACTAGGAGTCTACAAAGTCTTAGGACATGCTGGACCTTCCGATATACAGCACCTTGCAAGTTTTTCTTTCCTCAACAGGGCAATATACCACAAGCTAGAGAAGAAAAATCATTACACTTAATATAAAAGCAAATTAGATACACTAAGGTGGTGACAGTAATTAACAGATCAGCTGCTGACTCACTATAAAATACTTTGCTCTTTAGTAAAGGACAACTAGGGTCACTCTAGAAGTGTTGTGTTTAAAGTAAGGCTACCTACATGTATTGTACGGCACAGACATTATACAACTTACTGCTCTCATGTGAATTATATTTAGAATAATTTTGTAATGGAGCTTGTGAACACTGTCTTCTCGTCACATGTTGCACAGTACCTTCACTATAATGTTTCAGAGTATGGCTGATGTGGGATAATATGAGTGCTTCAGATTTTCCTGAAGCTAAAATAGACACACTGCTAACTGACTACAGCGATAAGTACGATAAAAATGAATTCACCATGTATTCTGAAAAATTGTCTCATGTTCTGTAAAAGCTACATATTAAACTACATATATATGCACTTTTCAATACATTTAAATAGTTTAAATGAATGGCAAATGAACATACAGTTCATATGCAAGAAATATTTGCTAGAAAAAAAAATCAAAACAGAGTCTATTATAAAGCAGTCTAACTTTAAATACCAGTTAGCCCTTCTTTTTGCAAGTTCTTGACTTTCTGAGCAGCTTAGTGACAGTGCATCATTTAAGTAGTGGCTATGTCTGAGAAAATCATGCAAGGAATCAAAGATGAAAAGTTAAAAACCTTAAAAACATAGTTGCGGTGTAATTCATGGTTTATATATATCAATTATACTGCCAGAGTGTATATGTGTAATTCAAATTGTGGGTGTTCCTCAACATAACATTTCATTCATCACACCCATTTTTTAAAAGAAACTCATACTAGCTTGCCAGTTAGTTTTACAGTCACCCCCCAGCTTACAAATTTTTACTACAATAAAGCCCGTAAATATATACCTATTTTTACCCTATGAATAACATTTTTCACCACTAAGAACGAAATCTCTTCGCAGGGTGCTAACTTACTAGACGCAGAAGAACACGCACTGAGGCTGTGAGTCTAATAAGATCGTGCCCAGATCCGTAGGACTTTGTCAAACTGTTTAGGTCTGATATAGCTGTGCTTGTCGTACTGCAGTGTGCACACACCTTAATCACTATATTTTACTGTACATTATCTGTGCAATCAAGATCTATCCCGGGTCCAAAAATGTGGCCAAAACTCAAGGTGGTGTTGAGAAAGTAAAGAAAGTACTAAAAAAAAGTAACCATTGCCCAGAAACTAGAAATAATTAAGTGACTGGATGAAAGTCAGCAATCAAAAAAAAATCTGTGTTGCTATGAATTTGGATGCTTCAATATTCTGTGTTGTTTTGCAAAAGTATCAGATACAGAACGGCACAATCTAGTGTTGGTGCTGTGACAGTGCTTTTCATTATAAAGGCAAAAGTGTTACTTTTTATTTTCACATTTTAATGATTAAATTGAAGCTTCGAAGATTAGACATTTTTTCTTTCTTTCACACTAGTTTCTTCAAGTTCCAGTTTTTGTTTGGGAAAGCATGATCTACCAAGCTTTAATTGGTTAGTGTATCCATATTTTACAATAAAATGTTACACTAAAGAAAGACTGAATATTTGAACATGTGGTAAGACCCTCCAAACCCTTAAGAATCTCTTGTCTAATTTGCCTTGTTATCTTAGTCTGACAGCACATTGTCTACACTGACACGCTTGAGCAATACAGTGGCCAGTTACGTCACTTTCAGTTTTCATCATAGTTGTCACTTTTTCTGCTGAGCTCAGGGTTTCCTGAAGTATGGCAATGCATGACGTTGTGGTTTATTAAAAAAAGAAAGATAACTCTTTTCACATCCGGAGATGTTATTCACTTTCATGTTAAGTATTTTCTAGATTCCGTTTTTTTAAAATTACAGAGAAGTTTCTAAAAATACTCTGACAAGTACTGAAAGTTCAAAGCACATGACATTTCATGCTTCAAAACTATAGGCAAAAAGGCCTCTGCTGCTACCAGAATGCAGCTTTGTTAATGCTGTACTGTATCCATATAGGGAAACCTATCAATGAAAACCAATTATGCTTATTTTCCGTTGTGGGCACATTGCCTAGGTCACATGAGGCAAGAGCTTTCCCTGGTTGTAGAATAGCACACATAAAACGACGAGAACTCATAAAACATTCAAGAAAAAAAGCACATTGAATTGACTTAATGACACCAAGACAAAGCCTGAATTATGTATTTTCGCCTTTAGTAAACGGCATTTAACGGTCTTGAAAATGGCAATTTAAAGACTAATGAAATTGGGCAAGGAACTCCACAAATGAGGTGCTGCACATGGGACTATCACCCATTGTGGGGAGATTGGTGATTGGAATAAGAAGATCAAAATCAATTTATGCAACATTAAGAGCTGGACAAAACTCATGCATTAAGTCTTTAAAATAAAAAATGGTGGGGCTAAACGATTCAGTGCCTTGAAAATGAGTGAGAAAACATTAAAGTTCACTTAGAATTTTATGGGAAGCCAGGGCAATTTACAGAGAAATCAGAGGAGGCCAATATTTCACATCCAAAATCTGTACAGTAGTTATCTAAAATTGCACACATATGGAGGGGCTTATTTTGATGCACAGTTATAGTTTAGTATTCATGTCTTTACAAACAATTAAAAAAAATTAGACTTCTAATAATAATAATAATAATAATAATCATAAAAACACATACAATTTTGGTTAAAAATTCTTTGTACAGAATAACTGCATTACCATGTCACCCACTGACATCACCAAACTCGGCTTGCCCTTTTGAGATGCTTTGTGGTCATTTTATCATTTTATGTTGCTTTTATGTCGGTTGGGGTGTTTTTTTTTTTGGGGGGGGGGCTGGATTCTGACGCGAGTCTCCTTTTCATCAAGTGAGATGCATGCTAAGTTAGATTTAAATCAGGAGATTAACTTTCCACTTTTCTGCCCTTGGTTGCGTTGCCAGTGGTGCGTCATTGTCTTGGAGCGTCAAGAAGCAACAGCCAATGAGCCTGGAGGTATTGTCTTGTACATAGGTGGACAAAATGTTTCTGTACACTTCTGAAATCATTCTTCTACTGCAATCATTAGTTACACCTTCAAGAAACACGAGTGAGCCAGTTCCAGAGGCGGCCATGCATGCCCAGGCCATGAGACCATCACCACCCTGTTCACAGATGATGTGGTACCGTATACTTTGGATTATCTGCAGTTCGTTCCTCTCTCCACACCTTCTCCATCTTGCCATCACTTTAGTAGAGGTTTATCTGTCTCTCATCCATCCATAACGCTTGATTGCAGAACTCTACTGGATCATCATCGTGTAATCTGACCTCTCTATTTTTGGCGCTGATGAAAGGTTTGCATCTTGCGGTGTAGCCTTTATAATTCTGCTGTCAAGAGTCTTCTGTAAACAGTAGATTGTGGAGGTTGTTGATGATTTCAGCGACGGTTTTCGAGTTTTCCTGCACAGCTCTGATAACTTTTCTATGATCAACTGCAGTTGTTGTCCTCCGCCAACCGGTTTGCTGCTGATTGCTAGGAATAGCAGTGGATTGCTTCTTTTTCAGGATATTCTAAACTGTTGATTTTGTTATGCCCAGTTTTCGTGCTATGGTTCTGACTGAATTCATCCTGTCTTTCAGGATTCAAAAGTGCTTGCTTTTCTCTCAAAGTTCTCTAACCTTTGTGCTGGTTTAGGC